GGGCATGGTGGCTCATGCCTGTAGTCCCAGCTACTCGGGAGGCTGAGGCAGGAGAATTGCTTGAGCCCAGGAACTTTGAGGTTGCTGTGAGCTAGGCTGATGCCATGGCACTCACAAAGCAAGACTATGTCTCCTAAAACAAACAAACAAACAAAAACAAAAAAAGGAGCAACAAGGTTGGATAGTTTTAAAAATATATAGATATAGCTATAGATATAGACATCTACTCTTCCATGAGAAATCCTTTTTGAGAAAACTGGTATTCACTAAGATACCAAAACTATTTAATCAAGGAGCAATTTAGTTCCCATTAAATTAAAACGATTTGTTCCATAATTGTTTCACCTAGAAAACAAATAGATTTCATAAGAAAAATAATGGTTATGTCTTTATTTTTATTTCAGAAATATATTTACTGGCTTGTAACAGCAATGCACTAGATCTTGCTTCTTACAAAACTGAAGAAAAGTAGGAATTAATCATAGAGTTAATCTATCTTCATCTATACAGACAATGCTAATAACCTGTAATTGTATATAATTTTAATGTTTAGAAATGTCTTCATATACACAATTATATTTATTCACCAAAACCTCCTATTAGGTAAAACTGATTTTCATGTCTTTATAATGTCCAAAATGAGGTTGAGAGGGTATACCCCAAGCTAACACAGCTTATCCATGTTACAGTTAAAACCAGAACACAGATTCTCTGACTATAAACATAATGCTCAATCCCCATATAATGACAACCTTCCTAGGGTTCTAGATCTAATTTTACATCTATGTATAGATTTGTAAAGTAGCTCCTTATTCTCTAGTGTTACGATTTAACATATAATAATGCTAACCCTTCCCCTCTTTTTAAATGTTATTATAATCAGAAGACCCAGGAATACGGTACAGCTAAGATTTTTTTTTCTCAAAAGTTTAATATTGATTTTGCTTCAGTGACATTTGATTCCTTCCTATTAAAAGAGAGAGAGAGAGAGAGAGAGAGAGAGAGAGAGAGAGAGAGAGAAGAAAAAAAAACACTGTAAGTCTTATAAATTTACCAGCTTTGCAGCAGGATGTCCTCTGAGATGGCAATTCACCTACACTGTAGTCTCATTCTTGGTTACTGGGCCTAATTAAATCTGTAGATAAGATTAAGTTTCAAAGTGAAGACCTGGCAGGTTAAGATTCTTCACTGACAGGAAGGTCCTTCTTTTTTTTCCTCCTGTCTAGTTCTTGTCATCAGTTTTGAAAGATAACAAAAGGAACAGTGAACTTGCTAAAAACAGAATGAATGTATTCAGCTATCTACAGCTTACTATGAAACTTATTCTAAGGAAGAAAATTTCCAGAAAAACATATTTCCTTAGAGGAATAAAGGGGATATATGAATGTTTTTTCCAATGGGAAAAAAATGGTGTCAATGGCTAACGTTCTAGTCCAGGTAAATATCTAACTATACATATATCCAATTTTATTAAAGGACTTCATAAGTGCACAGAACATAGAATTTTTGAAAGAAGGTAATCGAGGAAAGTTTACAAAAATCAATTTTATCTATGTCTTTTGTCATATAGACCAAAATTTTGGTAAAGTCAAGTTGAAACTGAGATGGTGAATAGAATGGCTGTTATCATGGAATAAAGCAGGAGTATTCAGATTTGGGGAACATATACTAGTCTTATCAGCTGTCACAGGGTCTCCCTTTAATACCTAGAATTTAACCGAATTGAATAAAATGCATTGTCACACCATATGGTGAATTAGAGGGTGCAAGTTTAGGACCTCCCTGCTGAATCGGTTTATTAGAGAGTAACATTTACAAAGGTGTATTTCTTGGCCAGATACATATTTAAGATGTATAGCATTTCCTCTATGTGGACAGACACACAGAATTAAAGAAAAAGAAAAAAAAACCTAGGAAACCTTGCCATAAAGAAACATTTTTTTAGCTCCGTATTTCCCAAATTCATTTGAGCATAGAATTTTATTGTTTATTGTTTGTTTGTTTGTTTTTGTTTTTCACAACACACTTAGGTAAAAAATAACACACTATTCAAGGACAAGTTAATCTTTCCAGTTCTCAAATATGCACCAAGGAATTGTTCTATGTTAATGTAGGAAGACTTAGCTTTAAAGGTACAAATGCTTTTCTTGGCACATGATAGCATCCCTAGTGATAATTTTTACAATATGGCCAATGGTACACCAATGTCTCTGAAAATGCCAATAGCAATATAAGAAGCAAAGCTCCCATTTCTGTTATACTATTAATGTTTATATTCCCCAAATCAGCAGGAGAACCCCTAGGAATAATGTTGTAGCATGTAAGAATATCATAGCAAACAACAAGTCTCTAGGAAATAAACAAGCCCTTTTGGAGATTTTATTATATAGAGCAGCAGGAAGCACATCTTGAATTGTCAAATCCACTGTACAGGTAGGGTGTGCATTGTTTATCTTAAAAAAACAATGAAACTAGAAACTAGAGAAATCAATAAGGAATCCAGAATAAAACTGGCTTAAATTTGAAAACCATTTGAAGACAGTAAGAACAATATAAATTAAAATTAAGAAAGTACACTTAATTTCTGGTTTTCTTTATTTTTGTCATACAAGTATGGACTTTATTAACATTTATAAATACTATGTTTTAAAATATTAAGAAAATGAATGATAAGAATGATAATAAAAAAGAAGACTAAATATTATAAAGATGTAGTTCTCCTCAAATTTGTATATAGGTTTGATGTAATTGCAATCAAATGATTATTGGGATATTTCTGGAACTTAACAAAAAGTTATTATAATTTTTTCTAGGATGATAACTAGATAAGAGGAAATAAATGATTTATAGACACTAGAAAGAAAAAATAGAATAAAAAAACCAAAATTATGGGATTTAAACTCTATGGCACTGGCACAAGATCTGAAATACAGATCCATGAAACAGAATATCTTTGATCTGAATATTGGATGAGTCACACTGCAAAACTAAATGATTGTTATTATTCAACAAAAGATGAAAAAATGGCTAATTAAATGAGAAGCAAATTAAATTAGATTATCATTACATAGCAAAAAAGCAAAATGTGAATGAATTAAAGGAGTAAATGAAAACTTTGCCTACCTACCTGTAAATCCTTCTCCATTAAAAACAAAGGAGAAGCAAAGAAATATAGATGAATTTTCAATTGATTTCACAATGTGGAAAAACATTGAAAGTATAGAATCAACAGAAAAAATTTTTTAAATGGCTCATGTATTTAATGGATAAGTAAAATTAAGCATAAGCAGACATATAAATAGTTGCCACAAATATAATAAAGTTATTATTTGGCAATAAGCTAGTTTTAATTTCTTTTGCTATTATAAACAATGCAATATCAAATATATTATTCACACATTAACTATATATTGATTATTTTTTAAAAGATCCCATGAGAACTGGCATTACTTAGTCAAAAGGTTGATAATTTCAAAGTTTCTATATATATTACACAAAGTACTTCCCAGAAACTAGGTAGTAATTTGTATTCCCACAAGTACTGTTTGATTATTCTAATTTCAACATACAAACATTAACATTGGTAGTTTCATTTAAACAAACAAACAAAAAATCACACACAACAAAAAAAAAAGATAAAGAAAACTTAGGTGGCCATTGTTTTTTTGATTATTCATTATATTGAACATATTTTCAACCATTCTTTGACCATCTTGATGTCTTCTTTTGTGAACTACTCTTCATCCTCCTTTTAATGCGTTGCAAAGAAATAGAAAGCCAAGACTTTGAAGTCAGACACAAGCAGGTTCACCTCTGCCAGTAAGCAACTGTTTTGATTCTGTATAAGTTGATTTTTCTGAATTGCACACTCTTTAATTCAATGAGAATAATAACACCTATGTGCCGGGCGTGGTGGCTCACGCCTGTAATCCTAGCACTCTGAGAGGCCGACGTCAGGAGTTCAAAACCAGCCTGAGCAAGAGCGAGACCTCATCTCTACTATAAATAGAAAGAAATTAATTGGCCAACTAATATATATAGAAAAAATTAGCCGGGCATGGTGGTGCATGCCTGTAGTCCCAGCTACTTGGGAGGCTGAGGCAGCAGGATTGCTTGAGCCCAGGAGTTTGAGGTTGTGAGCTAGGCTGATGCCACGGCACTCACTCTAGCCTGGGCAACCAAGTGAGACTCTGTCTCAAAAAACCAAACAAACAAAAACAAACACCTATGCCATGGAGGTGCTGTATCAAATGAGAAGAATTAATGAACTCTAGGATCCTGACATAAATGATTACAGCAAATATAAAAGAAAGTCATTAACTCATTTTAATGGGGTGTTAGTAGCGGTTATTGACTTTAATTAGTATGTTTGTATTAATTATATTAAGATAATTCACATCTTATCACATTTACCATGACAAGTATGGGGTTTTTTTTTTGTAATTTAAGAACACTATTATTTTTAAGCAAATTTATAATGTTTGAGATTTAGATTTTTAAGCAACTTTATTATTTCTTAGATTTTTTTTCCTATTCATCAATATGCAGGTAGGATAGTTAACATACAGAAGAAATAGATATAACACCCTGCAATAAATTTATAAAGAATCAATAGTTTTACAAAGACACAATTAGTTTTTGTAAAAGTAATCGGTATCTTTAACACACTAGTTATTTATAATTTTCTGAAATTTTCCTTGATTCACACAACTATGTATTAAATGGTATGATATTCAACCATTCAAAATTTCAAAGGTAAAATATTTGGCAAGTTTTACTTTTGTGCTATAGAATGTAAAAATGCAAATGTAAGGAATATATATAAAGCTAATCTACCCACACTTTTCTACCAACTTAATTTGTTTAAAATTTTAAAATTATATTTTAACTTATATTAAATATTAAGACAACAGATATATTAATTATATTAATATTTCATCATCTTTAAAATGCAAAAGCATAGAGAATGACAGAATATAAGGTAGAATTCCTTCCTGTACCTTGTATTTGACTCATAGCAGTAAGTCTGAAGGCAGTATTTTCCTGGAGGAAGCTATCCCAGAAATGATCAATGACAAGATGCTTGGGCTCTTCCTGACCTAATTAAAAAATAAAGAGATATTACACTTCAATGTCACATTCAAAAAGAAAAACAGCAGTAGAGAAGAAATGGAATCAAAATTCTCCTGTAATGGAAAACATCTAAGATGAACATTTTTCCAAGTATATTTTAAAATGAGATTTAAGTGGTATTTTTTGAAGAACATAGCCAACGTTATAAATGATTTTCTCTGTAACATTAAAAATTATACAATCGACTCATAAATTCTTGAAATCTTAAACTACTGAATTAACAGATATTATTGAGAGCCTGTTTGAGTCTAAAAATGGACTATAGTACTTAATAAAGTTGGCCTTCCATATTCCTAGGTTCCACATTTGTGGATTCAACCAACAGAAGATTGAAAAGATCCAAAAAGAAGAATGGATGGTTTCATTTGCACTGAACATGTACAGACATTTTCTTGTCATTATCCCCTAAACAATACAAACTAACAACTATTTATGTAACATTTACATTATATGAGGCATTATAAGTAATCTAGAGATGATTTAAAATATATGGGAGGATTAAGTGGGTAAGCCATATGCAAATACTACACCATTTTATATAAGGTACTTGAGCATCCATGGATTTTGGTACTCATGAGTTGCCCTGGAACCAATTCCCCACTGATACCAAAGGGCAACTGTATATGCATATGCATAAATATACAACATTTGTGCAATTTTAACAATAAGTTTAAACCAATAAATACAAACATATATTGATTCTTTATTAAAAAAGATAAGCTCTGTTGACATTAAATATGAGTTGACAGTGCTACCTGCTCATATTTCAAAAGTAACTACACATACATTAAAGGGAATGCTAAAAAATATCTACTAATAGAAGTGTGTGATAAAAAGAAAAAACTGTTTTTTGTGTAAAGATTAGTGTTTCTAAAAGTATAATCTTCTGACAACCTGTACTGGAATAACCTGTGATGCTATGGCCTTACCCCAGACCTAATGAATCAGAATAACTGAGTGTGAACCTGGGGATCTGATTTTTGATAAGATCCCGATTATCGCTTACTGAATTTTTGGAGCTACTAATCAAGAATCAGGTAAAATGAATTCCAGACGTTAAGGTATCTAAACAGTACCTACGAATAAAGTAATTATAAGCAAGTAGAGTCTCAGATTACTCATCTAAAAAATGGTTATGATTACTCTATATCTCCTTTTTCTGAGTACAAAATGGTTAACTGTTTGTTATGAGCAAAGTAAACTGAGACAAATAATTAAACTAAGGTATAAAGAGATTATAAATATATTTGGTATCCTAACTTCTCTGTCCCAAAATCTCAAGTCTCCCAATACTGTTTATTTATTAATTCAAAGATTTAAAAAGTTGAATGTCTGAATTTGGGAGAGATTTTGAGGTTGTGGGATTTTTTATTACCCCTATTTATCTCTCTTCTTATGTATAAAGTCATGCTCACTATGATTGGCAATTTGCAATGATTACTACACATTTAACACAAATATTTATTCAACTCTGGATGTACTTTAGATAAGATTTAGAGGGTCTCCGGGGATAAAATTTTCATAAACTAATTCTAATATGTGAAATGAAATGCACTTGGTATTTCCTCTCCATGTCCCATGAGTATGATTAACTTATCATAATTATGCTATATTGTGTGCCTTACTACTGTACTGCTGGTGAATACCGTGGTCATAATTAACCCAAAGTCAACAAGAACTCATCACTGTACTTTGTTTACATTGATCAACCCTCAAAATGGAAGCTGATATCTGTAAAACTAATATATTATGTTAATTGGTATGGAAATTTTTATTCAGTGTTATTTTGTTTTACTCTTGAATAAACTACTGTCTGAAATAGAATTCACTTTTATTTACACATTTGCATCTGATTACTAATATTGCATTTAAATTTGAATTAAATAAAAAGATTGAATAATTTCCAGGCTATAGCTATTTTAGTAGAAAAGTAATCAAAACAGCTACTTTGTATGCATTAATTACTGCTTCATTCATTTATGGAACATTTAGTTATATAATCTATACTGAGATTTCATATATAGAATATCATACAAAATAAAAACTATGTATGTATGCGTGTGTGTATGTTTGTACATATATTTTTTCTCCAAATGGACGATAATTTTGGAATGCGCATACAAAGGTGTTCAGTGCAAAATAGATGCTCAATAAATAGTCAGTGACTGAATATTTAACTCCTGTCTTATCAACATTTACGCTAAAATAGAAATACTCTTTTAGGAAGAAATAAAGCTATGAATTAAGGTAACCTCTGGCATTAACAATCATACCAGTTAGCAAGTTTGGAAGATAGTTGTATGAGCAAGGGCACCAACATCTAATGGAGATGTGTCCTTAAATTTGCAAAATGTGTACATCAGGCTCTAATTTCTAATGTTTCAACTTAGGTCTTTGCTTTCCATTCATGGTTACCATCTCTTTCTCCACCTCTATTACCAGCTAAGCAGGATGTAAACTTGATAGATGAGGTCTCAGGTAGATCTCTCAGATGAGGTCTCTCACAATTACTAATAAGAAAGAATTTTGAGAATTTAGTCCATAGACACCAATCAGTGAGCAAGAGTACACATCCAGGCCAAACAAGGGCAAGACTGGAAGCCTAAGCCTTGTCTAATGGTAGAATGAAAAGGAGGAAAGAGAGACCAGAAGAGCTGAGAAAATGTGAAAGGAGTGGCAGGAGGGGAATTTCCTAGGGGCCTTAGATAGGAGAGAAGAAGGCTTGTTCTCGTGCAATCCAAAAGGAGGAAGCAAAGAGAGTGGCAAGTTTTATACTTGGTCTTATCACCGGGCTTTAAAAATACCATCTATGAGCAGATAACTTAGAATGATAAAGAAGACAGACATGATGAGTTCAAGACCCTGTTCCACCACTTACTCCTTGGCTGGCTTTGAGGAATTCCTGAGTCTGAGGCTCCACATCTGAAAAGTGGGAATACTGACCTCCAAGAGTTGTTTAAAGATTGGGTATGGTCATATTTAAAGAACTCAAGTGTGGTACATACTGCAATAGTAACAAATCCTAGTTTCCCAGGCTATTTGAAAGCTTTTCTACATCCTGCTCCTCATGGGATTCATTTATGGTTTGCTTTGGAGATATCCTTATCATCCTCAGGTGTTTAGGTCATCTTCTCTCTAGATATCCTATCTCGTTCACCTTTGGAAACTGGCATGTATGAACTCCTGAAACATGATCTTTTTTATACCTTGCCTTGCATAATGTTCCACTGAAAGCACTTTCAAAAATTTGTCCTGTTCCTGTTGCTATAGTTTGCATATTTCCTTGCCTAGAGGAAGGAAAGAAGTGCAAGAAGACTAAAACAGAAGTGCAAGAGAAGTTGAGAGCTACGGTACAATGTTACAGACTTATCATGTCCAAGGTAGGCTATTTCTGCAGCAATCAAAAGGTTGGAAATACTACAGACTACTATCCATTTTGGCATATATATGTATTTATTTATTTCCTCACCTGTTATAAAAAACTCTTAAAGTTATCACAAAGATATGAGATATAAGAAAAGATGAATTAGAAATAAATTTTAGAAGGTTAAAACAACATTAGAGACATCACCTGCAGTCAGGAATGAGATATACCATGGTTGTGTCACTTGCTCTGAATAAGCCAAAATGTTTTTCAGGCAGCCAATGTGAAAAATGAAGTGTCACAATCAGTCTCCATAGGATAAAAGGCAACCAATTGCTCAAAAGTGGCAACTGTTCTTCCTAACAACTGATTTCGTAAAAATAAAACAAAACAAAGCAAAAAAACTGTGCAATGTAACAAGAAAGCCTTTGACATCTCCACCAACACATTACAATGAATCCCTTAGAATATTTCTATGTCATTTGATGTTTGGGGTTGATTATATCACAACACAGTGAAATTCACTGAATGTATTTATTAGCATAGTCAGGGGAGGACTTAGTCATTTCAGGTACTGGGGTTTTGGCTCCTTCAAGTTAATCCATGAGTAGATTTCAGAGCACTCAAAGAAATAGTATGCAAGACTCAGAGACTCAGCTTTGCAGACTTGGGTTTTTAATCCCAGATCCCTCACTTAATAGCTCTGTGAACATAAGCAAGGTGCAAAACCTCTCCATTCCTCAATTTTTTTCATCTTTAAAAACAGATATAATGCCTGTTTCAGAGGGTTCCTGTCTCAGATGGGGTTTCCTCGGAAGCTGTTATTTGGAAAGTGATCTAAGGAAATGTCAGTAGGTGAACGCAGAAGTGAGACAAAGATGGGAAGGAATACAATGAATGATGTTTTATCAATGAAGTTACTCCTGTGGACAAATGAGGCTCAAGGCAGCTGGGGAATTCTGAGAACCAGTTCAGAACACATGTCTTAAAAATATACGTTCCCAGGGATGTGGGAACTATGATATTTATCTGCCACTCCCTGCCATGCATACTTTGAGGGAAAATTAACTCACTAGTACCTCCACCCTGCTCTAGGTGAGCAGAGGAGGTTCTGATAGCCAGATGAAACACCCAAAAATGTTACAGTTGTTGGCAGTTGGAAGATGGCCCAGACAAGTACCAACTGAATATTTGTTGTCTGGAGATAATGAAATTGCACTAATGAAGTAGTTAGTACAGTATCTACTATAAATTACATCTTAATAATTGGCAACTATTGTATATCATTTCATTCAATCACAACTGGGTATCACCTATTCAATTACAAGTGAACCTTATGCCTTAACCAAAAGTTGTATTAAATGTCAGGTCCGCATCCTCCTGTGGAAATTGTGGAGCATAACAAGGATTTACCCCTGAGTGGAAGGCAAGCCACACCACTCAGTAAGTCCTTATGAATGGTGCCAAAATTCTCCTCAGGAAATAATTAGGAGTTTGCTGTAATGCACAGGTTTGAACAGGGTGTTCAATTTCTGCTCTAAATAGCACAGTCATAATAATTTTTAGCATGGAACTATTTTAAAGTGGATATAACCAAACACTCATCTGGGGTATTAAAAATATCAAACATGTAGACAAGTGTTTAGAAACATTAATTTAGGCAACATAGTACAGTTATTTGAAAAAAAAAGTAGTTTGGACACATGAAACATTAAGTATGTTTGCTAAAGAAACAGATTCTATATCAGAGATTTTTGGAAAAATTTTTAGAAATACTCTGTGAGCTTTCCTGATACCTGTGGTCATGGAGTTTTCTATTGTTACTGGCTTAAATCTTCTGAGCTTTGCTTCTCAACTATAGCCTGTCACTCTCCTTCCATCCATATTCATTGTCCACAAGTATTTCTAGAGTCAGCTTTTAAAATGCGCAGCATTAAACACAAGAAATATTTTGAAAGCTCTCACTACTTGGAGGATAAAACTTGGAGTCCCCATCACAGTATTTAAGAGTTTCCAATACACTATCCTGGTATATCTCCTCTCTCTTCTCTCTCTCTCCTCTCTCTTTCATAGATAGATGGTGTTAGAGATATATAAAATATATAGATATATTTCAGAATTCACTGTTTCTCCAAGAGGGTAGCATTTTTAAAATCTCAAACTTGTCATCAAACTTCTGAATTGCCCAATTCTCCAATGTCTTTTCTCCTGCTATATCTTGGCTATTTCTATTTTTATCACCTCTTCCAAAATCAGAGCAGTTTGATATTCAAAGGATCCTTGACATTTTATTTGTACCATGTGTTGTTTCAGAATTTACAAATTTTACTATTTTATTTGTGGTCCAGTCATTCGGCAGACAGGCACTGAAGGCCTGCTCTGTATTATTTGCTATACAAATGACTAATACACAGACCCTGGCCACAAAGATCTCATAAATATCGTGGTCAGGGCAAATATTAGCCACAATAAGTGTGACAAATATTTAAATAAATCTGTGCACAAGCTGCTATGATATCCAGCAGAGGAAGTAATCATTCCAGGCTTGGGAAGTGGGGCAGGGGAAGAGATATGAGGAATGTAGGATCTGAAATGCTGTGAGATTCCTCATACCAGCAACCAAACACTTGGTGATATGAGTCTTGCTATCAATTTCCTGGTGGGGATTCTTTGAATTCTGTAGCACCTCCAAGAATATTTACAACATCCTTTGAAAGATAGGAAGAGATTGTATAGTCCTATCATGAAAAAATTTTAAGACATTTACCAATATTTAAGTGAGAAGGTATTAATTTAGTGCCTTTTGTAATGAGTATATTTTGCATATATATTAAATATTTTGATTCTTCTCATCAGTCATATATCCCTGTAGACTTTCAATAGTTCAGGACAAATTGTGAAGCTTAGTTACCAAGGAATATCAGCACAAGTAGATAGATAGATAATGCCTAGAAAAAGAATTCACAAAAGGGAGAAGGAGAAAGCTATGACAGAGATGGAGATTTTATCAGCAACAAAGGAGAAGAAGGATCTTTTTCACATAGGATAAGAAGACCAAGAGAGATAAGATATCAGAGCTCCTGAGATTTTCCTTTGTCCACTATCTCCTCAAGGTGAAGGAAGAAGGGGGAGAAACTGAGGGTCTGAACATTATTTACCCCAGAGAGTGAGTTTACTTAAGAGATTGTTTTGAATGGCAAAAACTTATAAACTTTTAATTGTCAAGTTTACAGTTTTTTCTTGTTACATAGTAGAAAGAATTTTAGACTAATTTTAGAAAAATAAGAAGCCAAAAATTATTTCACAATTTATTTTTAATGTTAAAATCTTGATCTAAATGTTTTTATATTACTCTCATATTTCTGAAGTCATTTGGTTGCATGTACCCTGAAAATCCCATTCCCTGGAAAGATCCATTGATGTACCTTGTGTGCTCTCACACCACAAATTCTGAGCCTTATAATTGGCACAAACTTCACAAACACTTATTTTTTGGTGCCTATCTAAATTTATGGCTTCCATTTCCAACCAAACAAAACACCTTTTATATTTGAATTTTGTCAGGTCCATTTTTTCTTTCCTTCCAGCAGTAATTCCAAACCACCACTCCACTCTTCAAATTCCCTACTGTTAGGTAGATAGCAAGAGATTCTGGGTCTCCTAGGGATAAAAGTGAGTGCTGTTGGTCCCTTCTTGGTCCTGCCATACGTAGGGATATCCTACGAATCTGCCAATCATACCTTAGCATGCCAGCTGCAAAAGAATGCAGAGGACTCTCTAAGCCCATGGGCTAAGCAGCATAGGTACCCTAGAGTCTGGAAATTGACCTAGAGCAAGCCACATGCATAACAATGCAACTCCCAACTGTCCAATCAAAGTGGTTACTTGGTGAGGTCTGAGCCACTAGGGAGGTCCCAATCTGGGCACTGTAAAACAAGACACAGACCATAAGCAAGCCCTTTCTGTGCACTTCCTTTGGCTCTCCCTTTGCTGTGATAGTGGGTCCGATTTTCATCTATGGCCATATGTATCATGCTATGTAAACCTGCATTTTGCTCTTGTCCTATATTCCTATCTTTCTCTCCTCCATAAACCTCATTTTTGTGCTTGCCTAACTTTGGTGTGTCTGGTCATTCTTTGGCCATGGGCACACCAAGAACCAACATTTCACACTAAAACCTGACACTACTATATCTAATTTCTTCAGCAGATGAAAACATAAACATCACTGCTCTCAATTCCAAAGCCCTTCCACTATGTAACAATTTATCTACGTTTCACATTTGTTTTATCTTACCTCCACCTGTTCAAAGGCAGAAATGCTCCTTCTGTTTGTGGCTCTTCCTCCTACCTCTACTCTGATCCCAGTCCTCCCAGAACCCTAGTCCATCAGTTAAACCTTACCTCCCTATGGCTTTGACTCTTACTCAACCCTGGCATTTTCAATCTGCATATACATGTAAGTATCAAGTCTCTTCCTTCTTAAATCGCTGCGCTGACTTCTTTGAGCCTGCATTCAATTTTTACTAAACACTGTATGCTTCTCCTCATCACAGCCAAAGTTCTTACAAGAAAATTTTACATGAGATGACATTACTTTCTTAATTTTTAAAATTATTTCATACCAAGAACATGAAGGGATAATCAAAAAAGCAAAATTCCAACAGGTACATGATAAAATGTTCAGCTTCAACATTATAAAAAAAATAGTAAACTTCAAGGATGATAAAGTAAAATTTTTCTCCAACCAGATTGATGGAGATTAAATACAATGGTACTACTTGGTGCTTGCAAGGAAAATAGGTAATGTCTGTATTATACTCCCGATGAATTGCAATGGTACAATCATTCTGAAGAGTGAGTTGGTCATTTATATAAAAAACATTAACACATGCATAACTTTAACCCCACAATTATTAGTAGTAATTTTAGTAGATCAGTAATAACAGTTGAAAAGACAGATTGGAAATGTCCAATATTACATTGAAAAATGTGTTTCAGAAAACTCATGATGAGTTAATTTTTATTTCAGACTCACATTATTTGGTCATTTAAGACCAAGTGATCAAATTCTTTAATCTAATTTAAAAACGTGCATCTTCAACATGACATAAAAAAGGGACAAGTCTGGCTGGAACCAAGATTTAATCCAAATATGTTGTGTCTTTATTTTTAAAATGTGGAAAGGAAACAAAATCATAATACCATAATTTCTATAAACTTTTGAGAAATAAACATTGGCACATTTGAATAATATTATAAGTATATTATACATATACTAATTCCTATATTTGGGTTTACAGATAGAATTGGAAGAACTTGACTTACTATACTGATACCTAATTCTGATTCTGGCTCTGCCATTTATGAGCTGTGATTTCAGCCAAGATACCTCATCTCTCAAATCTTAGGTTTTCTCATTTATAAAATGGTGTTCTTGGGCTAAAGGATCTCTAAATTGCCCCCTAGCTCTAAAATGTTTTGATTCTATAATAAATAATTTTAATTACTACCTATAAAGTAACATGTAAAATATACGAAAAACACTTACTTGTTAGTAAGATGTCGATGAAAACATCTTCATTGGTGGGATTTTTGAAAGGTATAATAACAGGTGAACGCCAACCAATGCATGTAGTTATTCTTTTCGTGTCTAGAGGCTTGGGCAATAGTCCTATTCCAGAGAGGTAGAATTTCCACTCTTTAAACTGTTTGAAGATAAACATTCATAACATATGTGTATTAATTGCATACATTTTATTTATAATGTTAATGTAATACACATAAACATTTTGGCAAATAAGAAAAGTTTTGTTACATTTAATATGCATGTTTTATTTTTCCTTTCTTTTCCAAATTCTTTTTGATTTGATTGAAAAATCATTGTATATATTTTTACATTGAAACAGAAGAGGGTGAAAGACTAATATTCAGATATCAAACATACTTCAATGCATATAAGGTTATTTATAGCAACATAAAAGAGAAACTATAATGAAAAAACTTGCATTTCGGTCCAAAGTTTTTTTAAAAAAATCGATTTGTCTAACAAACTGTATTCTAAACACTGCATGTAGTTTTCAAAATTTTAGGTTGAATTTCAAATTAAATTCACATGGCTACCATATGAAAGCAAAGAAAGTGAGGCACAGAGTGAAGTCCCATTAAAAGGAAATGTGTACAATGTGTGTTATATTATTCATCCCCATCATCTAGTACAGTATATGTTTTCTGTTATTACATGATATGGGTGAAAGGCTCAAAAAATATGTGAAGGAAATTGAAAGAGGCTGTTCAATTTTTTCTGTGGGTTTCATAAACCTGTAAAGGTCTGTTTGAAAATGTTTTCTTTGTATTCTTTTAGAATAAAAGTCCCTTGAGAGTCCAACAGGACTGGGATTTAGTTCTAGGTATCTTAACATTCTGCACCAAATACTTTCTAATGTTGTAAAAAAACAATAAATGATATCTTAGTTTATAATCTCTCAAACTACATAGATGTTTACAAGCTTAAATTCCAATAAAAAGAGGGAAACTTGCTTTAAGATTGTTTCAAAGTAGGAGAGATGATGACAGGAAATCCATAAAATAGTGTCTTTTAGTAGTTAAGATTAAAGGCAAATTTTATATGAATATTATCTTTAAGTGACTCTATTATTATTGGTCACAGATTCTACTAGCATAATATAAGTTCACTACATTTTCAAATAGGGTGTCTTAACTTGATTTCACATAATTGACTGACTGAAGTCAATCAAGGTTCAATTAAATTAATAACTGGTTTAAGTAAATTATTTACTATTTGACAATTCTATAACATAAATCTTAGATGACAGACATCAGGTTACTTTAAGCCATCAGGGATTATCCAAATGACAAAAAACAAGGCTGTGTTTTCATGTTTCCTCAGGTGGCCTGAAATATTGGAGTTTCTATGTTAAACCACATCCCATCATTATTGAACACACACCCAACAGTTGTCCTAGCATTGATTAAACTATCCACTTGGGTTCAGAGAGGGAAATTAAAAAATGACTCAGTGAACATGTGTATTACAAAAATAAGCAACATTTTCAGCTCATATTTATCTCAAACTTTTTCTAAAGGAGAGACATTAAAACTTTTAAAGGTGCAATTCCAATGTTTCTGTAAGATAAAACTAGTAGAAGTAAAAGATGGTAAATCTGGCTTGCATACTGAGCAGAGCTCCAGAGAATTAAAGCTTGATGAGAATCAACAGAACTTTCCATGGACACAGGCTGCAAGGTTGATGGATTCATGCTACATTATAAAACCACTCTGATTTTATACTGTCTTCTTCTTTATTACTACCCTGACCTTTATATGAATGGAGTCACACAATCAAGTATAAATGAAATAAACAAGCTGTTCGAAAATCAAAATGAAACATCTGAAAAGTGAGAAAGAAAATCTCAGAACACAAAGTTTGAGACCAAAGAGAAATTCCAATCACCATATTTGCCGCTTACTACTGCTATTCTTATTCTGTTATGCAGTAACATAATATCACTTAGAGATTCTAATTCATAATGTGACTTCATGGTATTTGTAGTTATGAAGTCCTAATGAAGTTAATCTCAGGATTCAAAATATGCACAAATAACTTGAGCCTAAAGTTAGATTTTTTACAGTAGAGAGCTTTTCACATGGATTGAAACCAGAAACAAATTAAGTAGATAATAAACCATAGCCATTTCCCTCAATTCATCAAAGAGGTACAATCAGAAACAGTTAAAGTTTATCCCATAAACACGGCCAGTAGTTTATTTTAGATTAATCAGCTACTCAATTGTGTGTGTCAGTTCAGATAGATTTAATCAGTTAAATCAAGAGAGGGACAGAAATCTATATAGGTTTTTCCCTAATGGTAAGAAGTTATTCCAAACTCTTAGAAAAATAAACTCTAAAGCATTATTTTAAAGAAACCATTCTTTAGATGCCTGCTCATACATACTGCATAATATATTTTCAAAAGTTCATTCAATTAATACTTTATGATGAACTAGTTTTTCTTGCAAAAGGTGTCAATGGGATGAATTAAATACAAAAGGAAGACCTGAATGATTCAAGGACAAAAAAAGGGCAAGAAAAACCACAAAGGTTAGAGCAATACATTGAAAAGGTTGAAGTGGTCTGGACCTGGTCGGTGAAGGGATGAATTATTGATTGAAGTTTGATCATAGATAAAACCATAGAGATTTTCTGTAAGTCAGAAGGAGATCGTCAGAGTGACTGAAATCCAGCAACAGCGCTCAACTGATTCACAAAAGGTTTGAATTGATTATTTACTTGTTTGAGCTCTTTTGTGTTTGATAAACAATTTATTGTTCAACTTCTGGGCTAAAATTCTTTAAAGCTATAAAGATGCAGAATTGATCATCACCCTGCTGACTTGTAAGACTATCCTAGAATAGATACACTTTCCACCAGAAATGTAAGCAAATAAATTGTCTCCAATAATTAAGATGGAGGAGTTCTAACCCTAATATAAAACAATCACTTGAAAGATCAGCCTTGTTAAAATTATTTGTCTAACAGAAAATAATCTCCATTATAGAGTTTATTTTATATGAGAAAGATAACTGTTTGTCTCCTTTAATGTTTTAGAAAATCAAGCATACTTCCATAGTATTTGTTTCAGGTCATGTGTAATTCAGTTATTACAGTATTTAGCACATTTAATGGCTTCAAAACCATGTTTTAAAAAATAAATTACAAAACTTTTCGGAAAAGAGAACACTTCAGTCACCCACAGGCTCTGCACTGACATGAAGACCTCTTTATTGTATTTGATTGCATTATCTCTCCAATGTCAGGGTTTGTGAGCTCCTTGATGTCATTTGGATATAAAGTGTATTCTTCCATTTACCTTCCTTTCTATCAACATTTGAAGAAGTAAAAATAATAATAAATGTAAAACATTATGTAAAATTTTCATTGGCAGTAAGATAGTTACAATCACCTGGCGAACTATAGGTAACTGTGAAAAATAACCATGAAGATAAGTTAAAGCCAGATGTTTGGGGTTCAGGTCTCTGCTCAACCTTTTACCAGCTCCTGATCTTCATGTGTCTGTGTCTCAGATTCCTGATTCATAAAATAGAATTGATAACAATACTTCTTTTATAAGACTGTGGTGAGAATGAATTGAGATAATTTTTTAATGACGCGTGGCACATTTAGAAATGTTCGCAAATAATTAACTGTTGTTTTAACAAAGTATTATTATTCAGGAACACTGTACAGACGAAATTGGGTGGGAAAAATTACACAATATTTGCAATATTGCACTCTTTACCCTTTTTATATTTAAGTTTATGGAAAGTTGAGTAGTAAAACTCAAGTCAGAAAATTAACATAAATGCCAGTGACTTTACATTTACATGACAATAATTTATGTTTTAAATCTGGGCATATATTATGCTTCCTTTAAGTAATCTATGGATTTAGAAATACTTTATATGTCTGCACATACATAATCATTGTATTTTCAAAAGTTCATTTAATTAATGATTTACAATGAACTTATTTATTTGCAAAAGATGTTAACTGGATGAATTAGATTTATTTGTATACTGATTCTAAAATTTAGTTAATTTGACTTGGTCCAAAAATACTCTATCATACCTGAGTACAGGAGAAGTTGATACAAGTTTGATGACCAGCTCTTCCAAGCATAGAAGGGTAAAAGTGAACAGATAACTCCGTGGTGGAGTGAGGAGTTATAATCAGCTATGTAAATTCAGGAAAAAAGAAAAGAGAAACAAAAGTTAACACTTGTGTTTGAGTTGGCATCTTTGTGTGCTAGGTATATGCAGGATTGATGTTTGTGTGATTAATGCGTTGCCTTGCACATCTTATCTGTTCTCAGTATGCCTGCTCCCCAAATATTGGTAAAATGGTCTGTAGTAAACAGTATTTAGTGGTGCTCACACTATGTTCTTACCCCAGACAATCATCATATGTAGGTACTTGTGTAAAAGGCAATCAGGATTAATTCAGAACCCCCAATAAAAGAAATATGCATTTTATTTAACAACCCATAGCATAATGTCCATCCCATAGTACATTTGAAAGCACCAGGAACCTAAGTTGTAGCCTTGGCAGTGTCAAAAGAAATGAACAGCTTCTAAGCATATATTTAAGACATGCATCTTTAATGTGCAATGCAGTTTTCCTCTTCATCCTTTTATATACACATGTGACCTGCTGAATAACTTGAGTCTGTACAGTTATTTTGAGTTACCACTTTAGAGATTGTAAAAGAAGCCAGCAACTTCATCACAATATAAGGAGGGCTTGAGTATATTAGATAATCAAAATGCTACACTGGGAATAATATTTACTATCAACAGTTATAGAATGATAGAATGAGTGACATGTGTCTGAAAAGGAAGTTAATTATTTTTCACTAATGTACTTTTCCAGATAATCTTTGAAAAAGCAAAACTGCAATTTAGCGATATCATTCAATCCTTGTAGAATATATTATAGCAGTTGATGCCCAATAAACTATGATAATGACTATGAAATGCAAATGCAAACTTGATTTTATATTTAGAAAAGAATCGCTTGTTTATTTAAATTCGTGGTTTATCTACAGCAAATATTTTTATCTCAGATTGTATCTCTCTCTGATACCTCAAATTTATCTCATATATCATTTCAACTCAACAAGTATGAAAAATAACGGTTTATTCTCTGTATAGATATAGAAATATCTCTGTTTTTTATTTGTTATCAATACCATTAATGTGTGCTCTTCTTTGTTTTATAATATTTTCCTCATATAAAACTTTTTTAGTTATTTCCTAATATTAGAGTTAATTGTATATTCAGTGCTCAATAAAATTTGATAAATGAATAAAGAAATGAGTGGACTGGAAAGCCTTGATTGAAAATGTTAAAGCAGAGTCCATATTCTTAATTATTTAACATAAGGTGGCATCTGCAATATATTTAATTTATTTTCCCTGAGATCACAGATTAGACTCCTCTCTAAATGTAAAGATGAAAAAGTATACAAAAACACCACTTTTTAATGAGGAATTTCAGCAATATGTAAACTATAACCTGAACATCATGCTTTGTATAATTTATGAAAAATATAGCTGTTAATGATACAAGCATGTATGTACAATTTAATATAATCTGTTTAATATTAAAACATATACACCAATTTTAGCAATATAATAATTAGTGATTTCTAATTTGACACCTTATGGCAGTTAAGAACTAATTTTATGTCATGATATTATTTGGCAACCAGTGGTTTACAAAAGACAGGTATTAAGATATCAATTAAAAAATCACATATAGAATTTTAAAATAATCATTAAATGGAAACTTGTAAAAAGCTTTTATTTAAATACTATACCTACTAGCAGGACTTCATGATTTACTGTGGAGTTCCATGATGACAATAATCTATTATAATTATGATTTTAAAAATAATCTTTTATAATTATCATTCTGAAGTTTATCTAAAAGTATGTGGTTTGGCATTCACTATAAATGAAACTGCCCTTACAAATCAATAAAGGAGTGCAAGGCGAGAACTGTGATTAGGGCCCAAAACTCTGTGAAGGCGCAGGCCTACCTAAAAATAATAATAAATCAGTCACAGTCCCCTCATTTGCTTGATAATAGTCACTGTCCCCCTGTTAGCTTCTCTATAATTACTGCTGAGAAGTCACAAACCTGGCGGTCATAAAGATCCTTAACTTTCCGGGGTAGATAACATCACCTTTTCAAAACCCAGTGGAATGGCTGACCCCAAGGAACTGACTCAACTGGTCTCGTCACCCCCACCCAACAACCTGGTGAGCAAAGAAGATAATTTCCATACCCCTATGGTTCCACTGCGAACATAGCCAATTAGCAGACCCAATTGCCTAGCCTTTTGCCCGCCAAAATGTCTTTAAAAACTTTCTCCCAAATTTTTGGGGAGGCAGTTTGAGAAATTCCTTCCATCTCTCTGCTTAGCACTATGTGGAATTAAACCCTATCTCTGCAGTAACACTTGCCATCTTAGTGTATTGGCTTCCTCTGGGCAGCAGGCAATGAACTTGGTTGAGTAGTAACATAAATAATTGGTGTCCTATGCTTTGGAAACAGAGACAGTCATGCCAAACCTTAGGATCTTGTTTTGCAACTTGGGGGAAGGAGAAAAATGGCCTAGGACCAGGCCTACCGACTGGTCCTAGAACCTTCCAGGACCTAAGAATGAGAGAATGGGGCAGAGAAAGGAGCAAAGAGAGGCAGAGCTGTCAGCATTATCTAGAAGTGTATGTTTGTGTGTGTGTTGGGGGGGAGGGGAGACAGTGGAGGTTGAGGGTGGGCAAGAACTCAGGGAGGGATAGAAAAGAACTGGTCCCTTGGGATCCTGGAAACATATAATTACTGTTGAGTTAAAAATCACATTACTGAAAACTATTATAAAAACTGATTACTAAAATGGTCAGAAATAAAACACAGTTTATTTAGATAGAATTCACTGAAAATGAGCATGACTCTAGCATATATAATTTCAAAAATTTATATTAACACCATATTGTTTTATTGGTAAATTAAAATTCAGGGGGAATTGTATATGAAAAAATTATATATTTTTAAAATTTAGGAATTTGAACCCTTATTAATAATTTGAATGATAATACTCCATTAGTTTCCCAAAATTAGAATTGGAAAATGCTTTAGTAGCAGTAGATTTCACGGCTTTCTGAATGTACTTACTTGTGATGTTTCATTAACATCCAGGACAAAATTTTCCGGATTGCTGTTTGTTGCTTGCAATTCTAAGGTTTCATGTGTAGGATTAGTTAAGGGAACCGTCTGAGTAGCATACCTGGGAGAAAAAAAAACAAAGCTAGTAAAGTCACTGGTATTCATAAACTTGTTCAATGATAATTCCATAAACTTGATGACCATTATGACTGAAGTATGTCACCCCAAAAGATATGTTAAAGTCCTAACTCTCAGTAGCTCAGAATGTGATGTTATCTGGAAAAAGGGTGGCTGTACATGTAATTAGTTAAGATGAGGTCTTACTGGAGTAAGATGAGACCTTAATCTAATATGACTGGTGTCCTTATAAGAAGACCATGTGAAGACATACAAGAAGTAGACACTGGAGTCCTATGACAAAGGAAGTAGATATTGGAATGATGTAGGTACCAGTCAAGTAAAGCCAAAGATTGCTGGTGAGCACCAGAAGCTAAGAGGGACAGGGAGGAATTCTCCAGTATAGGTTTCAAAAGGAGCATGTTGGCACCTTGATTTTGGACATCTAGCCTCCAGAACTGAGATAATAAATTTATTTTGTCTTAAGCCACCCAGTTTAATATAAATGACTTTTGTGAGTTTAATTATAAGAATAATCATGTATGAATTAATGACATTTTGCTAAATTAAATAATCCTTGGTTTTCTGTTTTATTTTTGAGACAAAATATTATTCCGTATTGGATACTGGAATATATTTAAGTTTTAAGAGAAATGTTTGCTCACTGTTTTATAGCAACTAAATCCAGCCAAAAAAGCTAACATAGTCTAGATGTAATAACAGAATCATAAATTCACAAAGTTTTCATCCATAACATTAACAAGATCCAAACTGATGATCATTAATGCCAAAAAAATGTGGCTGAGTATTTATGCTTGAAGCAAAAAGTAATCAAGAGGGTTCATAATTCTCAGTCAACCATCATTTCTAATGGTTTTTAATGTTACAACACCCAAATTGTGATCTTGAATTATCTTTTTGTAATGTTGAAGTATAACATTATAATATAATAATTTTATCTATGTACAGTTTTTCTTATCACTGTCTTTACTGTCTCTAGCTTACAATCTAAAATATGTAAGATTAAAATATTTAGGTATAAAATCTGTAATAAAAAATGAAATCATCAGTACATATATATTATTAATTTTCACAATGTCATGGCCCTATGACAGAGGAAAATTAGCAGTATGTACTGAGCAAAATTCAGTTTATTAATTGAAATAGTATAATTCAAATAAAGAACCTTTTTTTAGTATTATACAAATATATATAGTGATTCAACTTAGAGTAAAGAGAATATTATTATACATATCAGTTTTATGATTCTATATTACAGATTAAACAACACAGTGTAAATCATGAATTTGTTCTTTTACCAAGGACACATGAAAAAAGAAATCAATGAAAATAACCAAAATCTCATTAATTATAATGAATAAAATACATTAAAAAATCATGACAGATTTCCCATCATTTTTTGATAAGCATCTGCTTTGTATATTATGCAGAAAACCAATTTCCTAAGTTTTCTCATAGGCAATACCATAGAAAAATATCAATAAAATATTTTCATACTAGATTTCTATAGTACTGTTAATAAAAAATAATCAACATTGAAAACAAATTTGATGCACATATTTGATGCAAAACTCTATGGGTTTTAGCTACATTTAGTGATTTATGTTTCAATTCAGAAGCCCAAGATTTCAACTTTTTTCTTCACTAAATCACTTTCAAACACAGCTTGTGATTAATTGAAATTGAAAAGCATTTATGTCTGACACCTTTGCAATTGTTTAAATAATCAAGTTGCAGGTACATGCCTTAAATTTGGATATGAGTAAATAATGCAAAAATATATTAATATGTAGATCTGTTTTTCTTTCTGTATTTATTGGGTTGACATGTGGCTCATACGATTACTATAAAAAATTAAAAGGGAAGTTGTTCATGATTTACAAAACTTAATTTATCAACTCTCTAAAATTTTATGTACATCTATGACATTGAGTTCAAATAGAATTCAGCATTTAAATCTCAGGATGAGGAAAGTTAATTATTTTACATGGTGAGGCACTAACTCCATTTATACTTGATTTCAGCAAGTATGTTTTTTGGATATCTGTGATTTGGCATATTATTTTTTAAACAGTCTCTGTCGGTCTCTCACTTCCCAATGTTGATTAAGCAATGAAACTCATTTGCCATACAGAAGTAAAATCAAAATAGTTTTCACATGGCAAGAAAACAAAAATTGAGAAAATGAAAGATATTTTCTTAGCTCTTAAGAAGCTAATTTTTGACAGGCTCTTGGGTATTCAAACCGTAAGGAATCAAAACATAGGATTTTCAAGCCAACCTTGTTTTAGGCAATATATGAGGGCTGTCCAGAAAGTATCCAGCCATTATTAATATAATGAGAAAAGTTAGCGTGACATTGATGTAACTTGGCAACCAAGGAGAGTGGACTGGAATGCTCATGTGTGAACAGTGATGACTTCCCTGTGCTAGTCAGTGGGGTGCTTGATGCCATTGAGTGACCACGTGTACTGTGTGGCTGTTGCATTCAAAAATACTGAGCGAGTAGAGCAACGAATCTGCATTAAATGTTGTGTTAAGCTTGAACATTCCTCTATGAAAAATATTTGGATGATTCGGATGGTCTTTGGGGATGATGCAATGACTGCAGTGCAAATAAAAGTGTGGCACAATGGTTCAAAGATGGTCTAGAATCTGTTGAAAGTGATCCAGGCCTGCAACAAGCAGAACATCCTGAGGATGTTGAACATGTAAGGTTAGGTTAAAAGATGTTGGGAGAACTATGTGAGGTCCCAAGGTGCCTACTTTGAAGGGGACTGAGGTGTCATTGCCCTATGGACAATGTTTCTTGTATCTTGTATCATCTTCAATAAATGTCTCTATTTTTCATATTACATGGCTGGATACTTTCTGGACACATCTCCTATGTTATCTTATGTATTCTTACTAGTAGTACTTTCACTTTCATCTCTACCACCAGGTTTCTTGGTACTTGATCTTTCATAGAAATTGAAAAAAAATAATAATTAAAAGAATAATTAGCAACAGTCTATGCTTATTTTCAAATATAATTTACAGAAAATACTTACAGTTTTCCCAAAATTGATCCACATCCAGTTATAATGAAAGAATCATAGTTGCTCTTGTTAATCAGAAGAAGAACTAAGATCCACACCCATGTAACTCATTTCATTAATATACAAAGTTATTTTAATGTGTGAGGAAACCTATGATTTCAAATCAGTATTGACTGAGGCTCCTTATATAGCAAGTTTACTTCCCTTGGAGTGGAAAAGATAAATAAGACATGCTATCTGATTTACTAGTGGTGGCTAGAATGAGGTTTGGCAACAAGTCAGGGGGCAGAATAGGAAGGACCTCACATACTATGCCAAGACCCTTTTATTTCTTTTTGAAGGCAATAAAGTAGCCTTGAGTTTTTGTTTGTTTTTCAGATATATCTATGCTAGAAAAATCTTCCTAGCAGCTGGTTGGAAAATGAACTGCAGTGAGAAGGGAGCGGAGGCACAGAGACTGGTTATAATTAGTGTGGTATGATAATCCAGGCAAGAGATAAGAAGGGCCTGAGCTAAGGGAGTGGAAGTAAGAATAGAGAAGGAAAGAGCTTCCAGAGGTATTGGGAGGGGAGAATAGATGGAAATTGGTGAAAGTCTGTGTTTGGAAGGGTAAGAGACAAGGGGAAGGAGGTCCTATATATGGACCTATAGGGCATGTGAATTGATGAATTGTCAAATTAATTCAGTAAAAAGCAGTCAGGATAAAATGTTATTAGGTTATTAAGTACAGATTGTCCAATTTCCTTAAGTACTAAGTTTGACAATTGATGTCTCTGACATTTCACTTTGACATTTCTTGCTTTGTGAAAGTACATCCTCATTCTTTCAAATGCACATTTTGGCTTGTGATTAGCTTTCAAAAACATTTTTTAGAGCAATTTTTGTGAAATCATGGGTAAGTAAAAAATTCTTGTTATTTTCGAATATGAGCTCCTTTGTGGAACCAGTGCAGTTCAGACAGCTCGAAATACCAACTAAATGTTTGGGAAGGATGTGGCTAATGAACACAAAGTACATTGATAGTTAGAGAAGTTCTGTTTTGGTGATTTTCATCTTGAGAATGAGCCATGTGGGTGACCTGAGACCAAGATAGATAATGATGTGCTGAAAGCTGTAGTGGAAGTGAATCCATCTCAACCTACATGTGAATTACCAGCAAGGTTTGACATTACTATTCCAACAATATTGGACCATTTGAAACAAATTGGCAAGGTAAAGAAGATGGATGGATGGGTGCTGCATGAATTAAATGAGCATCAGAAGAGAAATTGTCTCGAAGATTGCCCTTCTTTACTGTCACAACATAAAGGTAAATTATTTCTACACCTTATTGTTTCGTGGGATGAAAAATGGATTCTTTTTGACAACTGCAAGTGTTCGCACAATGGTTGGATAAAGACGAAGTGCCAAAACACAGTCCAAAACCAAATATTCATCAAAAAAAGCCAATGGTGTCTGTTTGGTGGTCCAGTGCTGGTATTATGCACAACAGATTCATGAAACCTGTTCATTAGATTACAGTGGATGTCTACTGCAGCAAGTGGGATGAAATGATGAGGATGCTTGTAATTAAGCATCTGTGATTGGGCAATAGAGACAGGCCAATCTTCTTGCAACACACGTTGTAAAACACAACACTACTCAAGCTATAGAAGCTGGACTTAGAAACTCTGTCATCCACCATGTTCGCCAGACCTTAGAACAACTGACTACCACTTCTCCCAGGCTTTGGACCACTCCTTGCAAGAAAAAATATTCAATTCTCAACAAGCTGTGGAAAACGCCTTTCGTGATTTCATTGCTACTGGCTCCCAGGCTTCTTCTCTGCTAGCATAAACAAGCTACCTTTAAGATGGTAAAACTGTGTTCATAGTTTAGGCACACACTTTGATTAATTGTACTGCTTCTTGCTTGAGATATAATAAACTATACTTTTAATTTGAAA